AAGAGATCGTAATCTTTTATTATAATAGCTGTGCCCTATCTCCCATTCACCCAGGCTTGAGAAATGTCAATGGTATAGCTTGAGTAACACTCTTACTGTTTACCCATCTAATTCGCCTTTATCCATTAGCCATCTCCAAAGCCCTTCACAGGATGCACATGATAGTAATTGTGCACAGTTTGTTCTGACAGTGGAATACTGCCACTAGGCCTTCTGTGAAACAGCCCACTTGTGAAACAGCATCTGGCCTGCACAGCTACCATGGAGCATCTCAGTGACACCAGTGAACCCCATCAATGCATTCCTTTATCACTGTGGTAAATATGCTTTACTGGAATCCTCCACCCTTAAGAAAATATAACACTCTATTGTCCTGTGTGATAACATCCATAAATTATGAAATGACATCTTTGGTCTGCTACTTACAGGGTTTGTTCCCTAATGCCCAGTAGAATAAACAACTATTAACATAAAAACTTCCATCTATCACTTGAAATCATCCTGCATACACAAAGGAACCTCTGAGAAGTACTAAAGTGGTCCACAGGGAGATGTTTCAATAGGAAAGCCCTGTGGCCTCCCAAGCCATCTGTAGCCCCCAGTCCTGCTGAGCACACTGTGACTTCTGAAGTAACCACTTCAGTCACCCCAAGCCTCTCTCATACACTGTGGTGTTACTTTAGTAGAAATCCAATCCTTGACTGGATTTAGGGACAGAAGACCCTTTAGCCCATCTGCCTCTCAGCATCTCTTCCCTTCAATTTAAAGGGGTTATGGAAAGAATACCAGTTCCTTCTCATTTGTCAGAAATATAATACACATTCAACTTAAAAGTAAGTCAGAAATCTTTTAATTACTTGGAAAAATTCCTGGGTAATTCCATGTATTTAATTATTAGAGAGATAGTTTTATCCTTACTTGCTCATTACCAAAAATAAAACTATGGTAACAGTTTATATTCTACAGATGCAAACAAGCTCACCTATTTTGACATCAAAAAAGACAAAAGATAAAACAGATTCTGAGTACAGAGATTAAAACAATACAATGGTCTAAGATTTTTTTTTTTTTGCTTATTTTTTGTTTCACTATTTGTATATTTATCTTCTAAAAGCCTACAGAAGTGAGGGGAAAATACCTGAAGGCTAATTTTCAACAACATGAGGCAGAGATTAAGCACTAAATATTAAAAATAAAAAATTTAGCTTACTTATTAAACTAGGAAAAAAATTTCCTGAAATACATCTGTTGAATTGGTCTACAATGTATTAGTAAACGAAGAACATATATTTTCTAGGAAATCTTTTAAACATCATGTACACAACCAAAAAAGCCAGTCAGTACATGAAATTCTTCAAGTCACAATCCCCTGGACAAACTAATACAAATCCATTTCCAACCTAAAGTCAGAAGGGCAAAATCTTCAAAAAATAAAAATATTGCTATTGTTCTCAGCAGTTAGCAGACTGATAAAACCTACAAGTCTTTAAAGGCTTTTCAACAAAATTAACCCACAAACTCTGGGCAAGCTCCTTGCTTATGAACCCAGGAAGCTCGAAGTCCTGTGGAAGGAAGGAAACTGCACTCACGGTGCTGCTCCATTCTGAAAATCACCTTAAGACTGGAAGAAGACCCAGCAGTGACCCTTGTCAGTACATCCCTGCCTGTACACCTGCAAATCTACACAGAAGGCTCCAAGGCAGGCACAATCTTCAGCTGATAAGCAGGAGCAGATCAAAAACAGAGGACATGGAGGCCAAGCATTCCAGTTTACAGATGCTATCCCTGATAAAATGTCAAGGGCTTTTGGACAGAATTGGGTAATATGTGAAAATGAGGTAATCAGGTAACTTTAACTTTGGGGGGTTGGGATGCATGTATCACAAGTGACACTTAGCTGCATGCAGCTCAGGAGCCATTCTACCTGGGCAGAACTTCTAATAACCGACACTCAAATGTATGCCCCTAACGGCAAACCAGGATCTGCAGGTGTTTCCAAAACCAAAGAGAGGCCATATAATGCCTCATATTCTTTGGGGGACATTTTGTCTAATTCTATATTTTATAATGATTACTTTTAAATTGGTAAAACATTTGGGGACCTAATTACACCTTTCTCTATTAGTCATATTGGTTTACTGATGAGAAAAATCCCACTCACCCACAGGATGAGTGATTGTAGATTATCCATAGCTGGGGCAATGGATTCTTGGAGCTAACCAACTCCTTAACTTTCTTTCTGGATGCAAGATTAGCAGGGTGTTTTATTACAACTAGAGCATTTATTAGACTAACATCATCATGAAGACCTTACATTTTGTAGGATTCAGAATCATGTCTCAGTTAGCAAGTCTTCTACTTGGTTACTTGCATCTACGTGTAACTGTCCAACTTTGGTAAGCTATTGAGTCCCAGTGAAAGAATTCCTGATGCGATTCTGAGCCTCCCCTTTAGGGACTTGGAAATGGAAGGTAGTGTAGTTTTTTCTGGCCATCTGTCAAGCATGGGATCCCAGGCTTCTTGGGGTAAGTTTGGCGAGCAATTCTAAAGAACTCTTCTGCAGCATCAAGAGCAATGAGACGGTCCTGCAATTTAAAGAGAAAAAAATGTTGCCAAGTTGGAAATCAAACCATATAGATGAGAAATTTTAACAAAAACAAAACCCACCCTAGAAACAATACCAAGCAAGTAAAACATTTACTAAAATTTTCTCAGCTGGGCATGGTGGTGCACCTGGGAGGCAGAGACAGGCAGATCTCTGTGAGATTGAGGACATCCTGGACTCCATAGCGAGTCCAAGCCAACTGGGGCTACAGGGAGACCCTGTCTCAAAAAGACCAAAAAAGAAAAAAAAAAACTTCAAGAGATTCAGAGACATACCTTAACCATTTACTTGGATTACCCAAAAAATGCCACACCCATCTTTTCTTTGTGTGAGTGTGTGAATGCGCAGGTGTGTGTTCCAGTGGGCATTTTTACACATGCACGCAGAAGCCAGAGGTCAATCCTGGGTGTTGTTCCTCAAGAGCCATTGACCTTCATCTTGTTGTTTTTACAAAAAGAAGTCTTACTGGGTGCTGGGGCTCACCTGAGTCTGCTAGCCTGGCTGGCCAGTGAGCCGCAGGAATTTGCCTGTCTCTGCCTCCCCAGCCCTGAGATTATAAACACAAGTCACTGTGTCCAGCTTAAGTGGGTACTGGGGCTGAAACTCAGATCCTCATGTTTGTGTGGCAAGCACTTTACCAACTAAACTATCTACCAACCTACCTACCTTAATCTTGGTAAATACTATATAAATACTATTTCTTCCAACTCTTTGACCTCATGTTGAAACTTGAACTGCACGTCAGAATCAGCTGAAAAACAAACTCTTGGGCCACAACTTGAACCTTAACAGGTTTAAATAGAATTCAGAAAACCTCTTTTTTTTTTTTTTTGGTTTGAGACAGGGTCTCCCTGTAGCCCCAGCTGGCCTGGAACTCGCTATGTAGACCAGGCTGGTCTCGAACTCACAAAGATCCACCTGCCTCTGCCTCCCAAGTGCTGGGATTAAAGGCATGCACCACCACACCCAGTTAGAAATCCTTATTTTTAAAGCTCTTCAGGTGGTTCCTATGCCATCAGCCACCAGGAACCAGTACATAAAATGGCAGCATCATCTGCCAGTTTATTCCTTGGAGGTGCTGGTGGGGTTGGTGAGAAACGCAGGAAATAACAGAAAAGGGTGAACATATAAAGCAAACTCAGGGCAGATGAGAAAAGGCATCCACTTACCACAACAAAGAGATACCTCTCTGAGAGTTCCCAGCTGGTTGGGAAGATACTGGTCTCCTCGGCCAGTTTTAACAGTATCTCTCGAGCTTTTCTTGTATTTTTAGAATCACTCATGGTGCTGAGTTTGGTCACTGACAACAAAGAGTCTGCTTCCCTTTGAAAACCTAAGGGAGAAAAATGTACCCCTCATATGAAGCTGTCACTAGGAAATTACTATCTTGTAATACCATCCTCGAGAGAGTATTAAGAAGGGATCTAAATGTGGATTCTGCACAAATAGTGAAAACTAAAGCCCAGGGCCCTGCTCCTGGTTGCTGTTTCCCAGCTCAAGGAGCATAGGAGGGTCTTTAATAAAATTCTTTTCATGTTTCTCCTTACGGGCTTTTCTTTGTTAATTTTTTCCTTGTTAAGTCACACATACTAACCCACTGACTTCAGGCTGCCCTTTGTTTACCTTGAAGCATTCTTTCCTGTCCTCTCTACCCTTCACCTCCTCTCCCGTTCCTAAAATTCCTACTTGTCCCTCAACTTGCAAAGTGGTCACCTTTAGGGCCCTAGCTCTCCAAGCCTCAATTTCCTTCCTCATCACAATCTGGTCCACTGGGGGAAATTACTTTCCCAAAGGTAGAAAAGACTCAAAGACTGAAACCTACTTGGGACAGCTTACACTGTAAAAAGGAGACTAAGCCCACAGCAATGGGTGAGTTAAGAGGGTAGAGAGTTCCTCTTATCTCACAACTCCCCAGCTAAAGCAATAGGAGCTAGCAGCTGACATGCCCTTGAAAAGCTATAATGCCTGGGTGCCATGTTCTTTCAAAGCAGAAGGATCAAGGACTTCAAATAAGCAAGCATATTTTATGATGTGGGAGACATGTTTATTCATGTTTATCTATTTCAACCATAGCAGAATTAAGAAGATATCTGCCACCCAATAGAGGGATGCTTTTGAAAGCCCTCGTCAAGAAATTCCAATGGACTCTCATATGAACATTTAAAAATTGGCCTGTTCTGACTTTTTTCTAGTTCCCTGTCTAGAACTTGTAATACTAATTACTCTTGCCTTTACTTCTCCTTCACAGCCTTAGCAGCAGGGTCCCCCAACACTCCTAGAGATGGGAGTTATGCAATTTGGGAGTCTTTAGATAGACCCACTGAAGGGGTACTCCAATTGCCTCGCTCTGTATCCCTGTTCAGCTTGGAAGAAGCCAGAGCGGTCTCTGTCTCAATTCCCTATTGGCAATTTGGGTAACCTCTTCAGAGGATGGTGTGGAAAAAATAGAAGGTAGGAATTCGTTAGGCAGTTAGGGTAAAAAGACCCCAAAGAAAAGTAGCCAGTTTCTTGGCTAAAACTCACAATGTCCTTGGGCCTCTTAGCAACCTACTCTGTTCCAAAAGTCAAGAATGTCGAAAATATTTGGGAGCTTTTATCTAATCCTTAAAAGATTTTAGGGTTACCTCTTCAAAGGGAGGAATGTTAGAAAAGCCAAAAACCCCATAAAAAAAAATAAATCAAAGAAGAAAGAGTACATGAAGTTATCAGAAAAAAAGTGATGGGGAGATATGGGAGGAGTTGGAGGGGAGGGAGTGGGCATGGATTTGATCAAAACACCTTATACGCATGTATGAAATTCTCAATAAATTATTTATTTTAAAAAACTAAAAAAAGAAGATATCTATCCTAATGCCGTGTGTATTTTTCAACCTTGGAATTTTTCTTCCTTTTGTTCTTTTGGAATTTTCTACTATGTCTTGCTATCTTACTTACAAACAATATTTCTCCCAACCTGCCTAATCTGTAAAGCCAGCACTACTTGGCCAATCACTCCCGTCTAATTCAATCAGTATACAACAGTAAAACAGTAAACAGTGGCACCTATATGACTTCTTTGCCCTGTATTATCCTATTGTGAGGACAGACATGGCAGAGCGTGTCCTCAAAACATGGGCCCATGAAAACAAGTATCAAATGTTTATGCTTGAAGATCTAAAAACAAAATTGGGGAAATGATCAGTACATGGTAATTTAGCCAATGGCTGACAATCTTTTACAAAAACAAACAAACAAAAAACATGGTGGAAGCGACTGGAGAGATGGTGCAGCAGTTAAGAGCATTGGCTGAGCATGAGGACCTGGGTTCAATTCCCAGCACCCATATGGCAGCTAACAACCATTCTTAAATCCAGCACCAAGGGATCTGACACCCTCTTCTGATGTTCACAGGCATTGCACAACATGAGTGCACTTCACATGTAAGCAAAACACTCATACATGTAAAATAAAAATAATAAATAAAATAACATGGTGGGAAAGTGAAAAGTAATAAGCATGACTAGTTATTTTTATCATTTCACAATTTCTTGTAGACTCACCCAAATCTTCTAAAATGCGTTTCCATCTGTTTCTCACTTCCCTTCGAATCTGCCGCAGGGAGTAGATATCATAGTTGAGTTTTTGCCACTCCTGTCAGGAAAGTAAAATTCACTTTCATTTATACCTTCTGGCCCAACGCCTCTATGTCATCCCTAACTTCACGCTGTTTAAACATGTGGGTCCTCTCTTCACTTACCTTAAAGGCATTCCTAAAAGAAAAGAGGCATAGATGAGATAGAGCTGACAAGAACCAGCTATTGCTGGGGCTGGAGAGATGGCTTAGCAATTAAGAGAACCCAGATTCAGTTCCCAGCACCCACACGGCAGCTAACAACCATCCTTAACTCCAGTTCCAAGGGATCCGACAACCTCTTCTGACCTCTGCAGCCACTGCATGACGAGTGCACTTACATGCAAGCAATACACTCATACACATAAAAATTTTTTTTTAAAAAGAATCAGATATGGCTGAAGAATCTTTTCTCCGCTAGGTGAAAGGATGACTAACATCTGACTTAATTTCTTTGCATTATCTAGTCTCTCAATTTCAGTGACCGTATCTGCAAAATGGGGTTAGCAATAGTAAAGGTATACAAAAGCAAGGTATTCAATAGCAAGGTATACAAAAACTTAGAGCAGGGAATTGGCTTGGCATGTAAAGTGCTTGCTACGCAAGCATAAGGACGAGAGTTTGGATCCCCAGCACCCACATAAATGTCAAGTGAGTGTAGGGTCCTGTCTGTAGTTCCAGAGCTTGGAAGGGTGATACATAGGATCCCTGAAGCAAGCTGGCTAGCTAGCTAAACTAGCCACAATGGCCAGCTCTGCTTCAATTAAGAGACCCTGCCTCAATAACTACGGTAGGGAGTGACTGAGAAAGACTCAGGTCAGCATTGGGCATCCAAATACATGTGCACACATGTGCATGTGCACCTGCACACACACACACACACACACACACGCACGCACGCACGCACGCACGCACGCACGCAAGCACATACACCATAAACACAAACAAGCAAAAGAAAGAAAAGAAAACTCAACACATGACTACTATAAAGACAATAAAATCCATGAATTTGGGCCAATTTACAGATGAAGAAACTGAGGCTTAAATAGCTTATATGACTAATCTAATATATTCCAGGCAATAGGTACTAGGATGGTGTCAGAACCTGAATTTTACTCCAAAGTGCATGAAGAAAATAACAGGCATCTGTATTGCTGTTTGTTACCAGAATACCACAGAACTGGCTATCTCAAGCATGATTCCTGGCCAATGTTCATAAACCGTATCTTAGCACCACTCTTCAATTGCTATTCTCTTGACAGTGTGAATCTTTCAAGCACTCAAGGATCCATTAAAAGGTTATCATTCTGGAAAGTTCTTTATCAGTCTTAGGGTAATACAGATCATAATGTTGGTCCCAATACAAAAGGTGAAACTTTTAGGAGCATCAGAGTCTTCAGTGTGCTAAGCATTTTCTTAAAAATATCATGAAAATGTGCTTTTAAGGAAAGTTATCTATATAGAGCAATCATTTTATAGTGAACACCTTTTCCTTTCTTAGAGAAGACACAGCTGTCCAAATGCAGAGCTCTAAAGAACATCACTTTAAATGCTCAATTTAAGACTCAAGCTATTTGATATTTTGACTCCCATAACTGAAAATGTTCGAATGATGCCATATTTCCCTACTAAATTCCTTTCCAAAAAAAGGTTTGCTTTGTTGATCGCCAATCAATTTTCATGCCTAGTTAGGAAAAATAAATTTGGCTGCCAGCCACAAATGTTTCAAAAGATACCACTTTGAAAAAGAAAAGCTTTGTCATGACTGCATCTTAGATTGTATCTGAGGACATGCCTTGAAGGGAGGGTGAGGGTTTTTCTGCTACACTCTTGAAGTCAGGAAGCTGTGGATTTCCTGGTCCCTTCTTTTTATGTAGCCTAAGGCACACAACTGTGTGATGCCTGGAGTCAGAGACAAAGTCAGTGACGTCAGAAGAGAGTGAATTTACTAAATAATCTCAAAAATACACAGTCCAGGCTGGGCATAGTAGCACATGCCCTTAATCCTAGCACTAGGGAGAGTAGAGGCAAGGGGACCTCTGTGAGATCAAGGCCAGCCTGGTCTACATAGTGAGTTCCGGTCAGCTGGGGCTACAAGAAAGTCCTGTCTCAAAAAAAAAAAAAAATTGCAACCATGGACTCAGCATCATATTAAAACATACCTAGCCAATTCCCACACAGACTGGATAAATGGAAAGGGGAAGCTCAAGCAGTGTGCCTTTTCACTGGAGGGCCTTACTGTATTTAACTGACTGTTCTGCAGAGCATACTGGTCCACTGTCTGTCTAGTTTGGATCCCAGCTCTACTGTTAACAGCCTACTTCACTGCCAGAGCATCACTGTCCACATGCCTCATCCACAATATGACTGCCACACTATCTACCACCCCCCAGTGGTTTATTGTGGAGTTCAGTTGCTACTACAGGCTTCAAATGGAAGTTGGTATACATCCTCCTCTATGGCACTATAGACACAATTAAGAAGTAATTCTGAGGGGCTAAAGAGATTGCTCAGTGGTTAACAGTACACACTACTCTGGCAGAGGAGATGAATTTGGTTCCCAAAAACCCATGTCAGACGCACACACACACACACACACACACACACACACTTAAAAATAAGAAAATAAAAAAAACTTGAAAATAAAATTTGAAAATAAAAAATAATAACAATAATAAAAAAAGAAAATAAATCATTTTTAAAATGTACACAAAATATTAGTACCATACTGTGCTTCCTCTTCACTAAAACTTGACTCTGTTTTCTGGACTTGATGCAAAGTGATCAGAATCTTACACTTGATCAGGAGTCACAGATCAGTTGCTTCACTCATTCACAGAACCTTAATTTATGCAACAAACCACTAGGTGGCTTCCTTAACTTGCAATTAAGGTCTGTACTAATTTTTCTTAGTCCATGTGCTTGCTGATGCCTCCAACCGCATTCTCTCTATGTGTAGACAAATCTCTATTTTTCAGAGCTCAGGTACTAAAACTGAAGGAATTTATATAGGATTCAATGTTGATGTTTAGGAATAGAAAAATTGGTAAATAGACAGCAGGAGGAGAAAGTCTTTGAATCATCCAGGTATCACACTTTCCCCTCCTGCTGACCATTTATCATTTATTTTGAAGTTCCTATAGGGAACAGACTACTATGATTTATAGCAAGGGTGACTGGTCTAAACACAAGGCTTAATGACTAGGATTGAGCCAAAATAAACAGCTTCAATTGGTGGCAGACAGTGGGTGGTGCATCTTCAAAGCAAAACTAGTACATGTCTCAGGCACTGATATCTGTTGGGAAGGGCTTGATTCCAACTTAACAGCTGAAGATCCCACAAGTGTCTAATACTGCTCCGTGCCAAGCAGCAACTTGGTACTTCAGTTCCCAAGCACCAGTTTCCCAGCCTACAGCTTGACTACAGAAGCAGCAGTGGACCAGAGACCTTGGTAGAGCTGCCTATAGGTTCAGTGCCCTGAGCCCTGAATCCTACTGATTCTCCAGGGATCCCACCCACCCTCAGTGCTCACCCCCTCAGCAGGAAAGGATGCCTACACCCACATGACATGACAGAAACAGAGAACTAATTCCTGCAAGTTGTCTTTTACCTCTGCACCCCATTGTGGCATGTGCATGACCCCCTCCCCACACACAAACACAAAATAAATAAACATAATAAAAATTTTAAAATACCCAGGCATGCTGGCACATGCTTTTAATCTCAGCATTCAGGAGGTAGAGGCAGGTAGACCTCTGTGAGATCAAGGCCAGCCTACTCTATATAATGAGTTCCAAGCCAGCTGGACTGCAAAAAGACCCTGTCTCAAAACAAACAAAAAAAAATTATATATATATATGCACACACACTTTATCATTCTGTATCATAATGTTTCACTCCCTTAACTTGACCACTGGGTATAGACAGAAATAGAATTACAGTAAACATACTTGTTTTATAGAAAATAGACCCCTCACAAATTTCAGTGTTTTCCTAAATACACCTTCAAACTAGAAAATTCGGGCTGGAGAGAAGGCTCAGCAGGTAAGAATGCATACTGCTCTTCTAAGGACTTGAATTCAGTTTCCAGCACCCACATGAGGCAGCTCATAATCAACTATAATTCCAGCTCCAGAGGATCTGATGCCCCTCTTCTAGCTCCAAGGGCACCATGCTCATGTGCATAAACCCACACTCAGGCACACACACACATAAACAATTAAAATAAAATAAAATCTTTTTTTAAAAACTAGAAAATTCCTTAAGATTTTTTGCCTCTTAGTCATGCTTTGTAGCACATCAAGTACTGAGTTCCCACAGGTACTATGTACTATACACAACTCTGGGAATTTCCACTTCAACTCAAATACCATCAACATAAAGAAGACACCATAGAACTTTAAAAACACTACATTATAAAAGTAACTACATCTAAATCAAAGAGGTACACAATGTTTAGTGTCTAAACATCTCATTTTCAAGGGGTAGCTTTTTCAAAAAATGAATTCTGTGTGTGCGCGGACACGTGTGTGTGTGTCTGTGTGTCTGCTTGCCTGTCTGCCTGTCTGTGTGTAAAGGCCAGACGACAACCTCAGACATCTTTCTTCAGGAATGCATGATACTTACCTTTTTTCTTTTGAAATGAGGTTTCTCACTGGCCTGGAACTCACCAAATAGGCTAGTCTGCCTGGCCAGCTAACTCCAAGGTTCTGTTTGTTTCTGCCTTCTCGATGCTGGGCTTGTACATTTGTGCCACCACACACAGCTTTTTTAAAAAGATTTATTTTATTTTAATTATGTACACATGTTTGTCTGTTGGGGGTATGTGTACATGTAAGTGCAGGTGCACATATGAGTGCAGGTGCATGTGTGAGTGCAGGGACCCAAGGAGTCCAGAAGAGGACATAGGATCCCCTGGAGATGGAGTTACAGGTGATTGTGACCCACCTGATATGGGTGCTGGAAACTGAATTCCTCCGGAAGAACAATACATACTCTTAACCATTGAACCATCTTTCCAGATACATTTTTTTAAATTTATGTGTATATGTGTGTACATGCATGAGTTTATGTACACATGCATGCAGATGCCTACAGAGGCCAGAAGAGGACATTGGAACCCTGAAATTGGAGTTACAGATGGTTGTGAGCTCCCTAATATAAATGCTAAGAACCAAAAACTGGGTCCTTTTCAAGGGCAGTAATCACTCTTAACTGCTGAGGCAGCTCTCCAAACCCCAGTCTTTTAATCCCCCGGCCCCCGCACATTCAGCTCTACAAGGTTGGCCTCCCCACTGGAGTCAGGAGTTTGCAGCATATGCAGGTGTCATCACACACGTTATTTATTTACTTTTAACGTGGGTCATGGGAACAAACTCTAGTCTTTGTGCTTTCAAGGCAAACCCTTCACTGGCTGAGCTAGCTATTTCTCCAGCCTGGTAAAATAAAATTTTTGAACATGGTAACTGCCAACTGTTTCCTTTTAGTTTTCACCAGTTCACATCATCTTATGCCTAATTTCTACCTAAAATAAAGGGGAGTCTCTAAGAGATAGACAAATTATTACTGTTTCTCCAGCTTAGTTTTCTTTCATCTTGGTAGTAAGAAATACCAAAAAAGTAGGAGGCGGACATATGACACATGGTATCTGGATTTAAACAAGCACCTAGCACAGTCTCAAGTTCTCCTTTCACAGAGAAATTTGAGATGGCTCATGCAGACTAGGGTCATTTTTGCACCCATGGGGCTATTGATGTCAGTCTAGAGAAAGCCTCCAGGATGTACTGTTGGGGCTCAGTTTCAGAACCAAGTCATCACTTTTATCACTAACATAATGAAGTCAAAGACTGTACAAGAAGAAAGCATTAGTAATAAATGTGATAAGAGAATTGTGATTTAATACAGATAACAAAAGAGGCTCTAGGAAGTCAAATCTCAAAGTTGAATATCAGGTATACACCCCACTCTTAAGAGTGAAGAAAGCAGCAAAGACAAAGCCCTAGACGCAGGGATGTGCCTCCCAAAAGGGTGCATAAAAAAAGCGCCTAGGGTCTGAATACAGGAAAGTTCCAAATGTGCCCCTCATTCTGTATTTCCTGGGAACCTTCTCTGGGCCAAGCATGGTGGTCATAGTACAAACAATGAGTAGGATATGTACTCTGCCCTAAAGGAATGAAAATGTAGCCAAAGAGCTAATGTGATGCTACACTGTCTCGGTAGAATCATCACTCAAAGGAAGTGGCAACTGACATCCTCTGCACTGAACATCCAAGAGACAAGCCTTGTGAGGGAGTCTTCAAACAGTCCTGCCACCAGGAGGAAACAACTAAGATGGCCACATGCCATGTTACTGCAGCCAGGCTGACAGACCTGTGCATTAGAGAATTAGAGAATTTTGGAGGATATAACAAAGATTCTTCAAATATAAACAGTTGCTGTACGGGAGATGGAGAGATGGCTCAGATGTTAAGAGCACTGACTGCTCCTGCAGAGGACCTGGCTTCAGTTTCCAGCACCCACATGGTGGGTGTTATTTGTAACTACAGTTTCAGGGGGATCCAAGGCCCTCTTCAGGCCCTGAAGACATTGTACAACACAACTTATATTCAAGCAAAATACAAAATAAAAATAAATAAACCCCTCCAAATTAAATAAAAGTTACTATATGGAAGAATTCCTTTTCTTCTTATTCCTTCTTTCATCCGTGTAATAAATGTTTATGTGCAAATTTGTATGGGTGTGTGAACACGTGGGGGAGGGTTACAAGTACATGGAGGCCGAGGTCTCTGTCAAGTGTATTCCTCTATCACTCTCCACCTTATTTTTTGAGACAGCATCTCTCACTGAACTTGGAGTTCATTGATGGCTAGGCTGGTTGGCCAATGAGTCCCAGGAATCTGCTGTCTCCAGTCGCCACCATCCTGGGGTTATAGATGTGCAGCACACCCAGATTCTTCTTTTTTGTTTTTCCTGAGTTAGGGTCTCTCACTGGCCTGGAACCCACCAAGCAGGCTCGGCTGGCTGACAAGTGAACTCCAAGGATATACTTCTCTGCTTCCCTGCACTGAGATTACAAACACACACTACCACATCCAGCATTTTTTTCCTGGGTTCTGGGAATCAAACTAGATCCTCACGCTTCCTAGGCAAGTACTTTACCAACTGAGCTATCTCCCAAGCCTTCTGGCTTTTTTTAAAACAGGAGTGCTGGGGATCTGCAATCAGGTCCTCATGTCCTTGCACAGCAGAAACTTTACTAAATAAGCTTTCGCCTCGGCTTATCCCCCCAACCTTTTTAGAAATGGGTGTCTCACTCTATAGCCCAGGCTTGCATGGAACTTACTGTAGAGCCCAGGCTGGGCACAAAGTTCTAGCAATCCTCCAGCCTTGGTCTCCCAAGTGCTCTATAGACAAAAGCCACCATTCCTAGTTTAATACCTTTTTCTTTTTTCTAAATAACTCTCAAAGGCAGAACTATGAGTAACAGGTGAGAGTTACAAGAAAGATGAATGTAAGGGGAAATTCTCTGCTGGGATGAAAATTCCCTAAGATAAAGAGCTGAGGAGCTGAGATGTCAAACGCAGGCAGTCTGGCTGGCTGGCTGCCACATTGGCCACTGTCCACAGTAATTTTTAAACTCTTAAAATAGGAAGGAAGAAGAAAGAGGAAGAAAGTGAGAGCACTGGTTTTAGTAAAAGACCAACCTGAAGCCACGGCAGCTGCACCTGAGGAAGAACAAGGGAAACACAACTGAAGTCCGGGGAGAAAACAGAAACTTAACACAGGTAAAGCCTCCTATTCTCTAGCCAAGAGTCCTGCCATGCCCAGGAGACTTCTCTTCCCACAGAGTGGATTCACTGGGACCTAGGCCTCCGTACTGTCTCTGAACACCAATTCACCCCCTCCCCCATATCCCCTCATAGAGTGGGAAAGACCTCAAGCTCCTCCTACTTCTGCCATCCCTCCTCAGGCACTGCCTCCCCTCTACCTATCTCTACTTCCTGTCTGGGAGAGGGAGACGAGACATTCCCTTGAAGACAGAGGGGTGGTGAGGGCAGCAGAAGCTACAAAGAGCTGAGATTTAAGGAAGGCTATTTGTTGCTTGGTTTCAGAACTGAAAAAAAAAAAAACCCCTGCAGAAGACCACCTAGAACACCTCATCTGCTCTTCTCCCTGTAGCCCCCTCTCCTCTCAAAAGGAAGCCTTCCCTTAGAAAACGCCCAATAACACCTACACCTTCTATTCCTGACAATCTTATCTGCAAGATTACAGGGCTACAAGAATGCCCAGTTCAGAATTCAACTGAGTCTTCTTCACAGATCTCATGACAAACCACAGTTTCACTATCTCACATGACTGGCTGCCTCTTCCCAGAATTACTCAGCTAGCGCTTTTGACTCAAATGCTTGATGTCATATGCCAAATTCAAAAGAAAAAGGATCTGGAAGGAAAAAAAATAGTACATTTGTCTCTTCTTAATATGCTAGCTCGTTTCTTTTTTTAAATTTTTACATGTATGAGTGTACTGCTTATGTGTAGGTAGGTGCATCCATATCATGAGATGCCTGCAGAGGGCAGAAGAGGGAGTCAGATCAACCAGAACTGGAGTTGCAGACGGTTCTTAGACAGTATGTGGATGCTGGAATTGAACCCCAGTCCTCTGCAAAAGCAGCCAGTGCTCTTAACTGCTCAGCCATCTCTCCAGCCCCTGCTAGCTGGTTTCTTAATACAAGCAGCCATAGTGCCCTTCCCTTCACCCTGTGACCTCCTCAAGCTCCAGTCTACCGCCCACCCATCCCTGCACTGCTCTAGGCATGAAAGGGCGGCCTCTCTGTTCTCTGCTTCTCATCCCCTCATCATCAGTGTTATGGTTTCAATCTGAAACATCTGTGACAGGCTTGTGTCTTTGAACACTTGGTCCCAAGCTGTTTAGGGAGGTTGTGGAAGTTTTAGGAGACGGACCTTCACTGGCAGATGTGGGCCACCTGGGATAGGGCCTTGAGAAGGTAGCCTGGCCCTGCTTCCAGTGCTGCCTCTACTTCCTGGCTAGTCATGATGTGAACAAATCACAAGCTCCACACCACCTTAAGCAGATGCCACCACCATACTCTCCACCATGACAGAGTGACATCTCCTGAAACAATAAACCAGAATAAATCCTTCCTCTCTTAAATTGCTTCTGTCAGATACTTTATCAGAGCAACAACAAAAAATCTAACAACCAGCTCTTGTCACTCTGCCTTCTTTGGGATCCATTACCATGGAAGATGCTAAGGCATTTTCTCAGTTCTCCCCAACCTAAGAGTGAATGAATCTAGCAATGTCTCTTGGTCCTTTCCAAAGACCCACTGTCTCTAAGCATTTCATCCTGATGGCCATCTCTCCCTAGTGAGCTACTCCAGACACCTGTGGGAAATGGGGAAAAGGAAGGAGCATTCACAGTAGACCCCTATCTGCAGCTTAATTTTCCAGAGTTTCAATTACCTACAGTGGGGCTTGGGTGATACCTCAGTGGCAGAGGGCCTGCCTAACTTGTATGAGCCCTAAATTCAGTCCCCAGGACTGCCCAAAGGGACAAGTGGGAACCAGTTATCTACGGTTGACTGTGATCTAAAAATATTAGGTGAAACTTTCCAGAAATACACTATTCATAAGTTTTAAATTATGTGCTATTCTTGATTTCTCACTCTGTTTGCCTGGAACACAAATAATTCCTTTGTCCAGCATCTAACAGTATCCATTAGTCAATTACTTGTTGCCTAGATTGTCAAAGTGACAATGTGTCACAATGCCTGTAGTCAAATAACCCTTATATTACTTAATAACGGTCCCAACGCACAAGAATAGTTATGCTGGAAATTCAGATATGCTGAAGAGAAGGCCATAACATGAAAAGGTGAAAGTTCTCTACTTAATAAGGAAAAAACATTTACTCATTTGTTTATTTATTTAGCAATACTAGAGATGGAGCTCAGGGCCTCATGCATGTGAGGCTATAAAGACTGGTCCCTCTGTTTCCAGAAGATAACTTCTTCAGTCTTCCCTCAACCAGGTGACAGTGGGTCACATCATTTCGCTTTCTGAAAATTTCAGTTACTCTCCACTGCCTGCTGAATAAATACTGCCCCTGAGGGGCTGGAGAAATAACTCAGTGGTTATGAGCACTTGCTGCTCTTCCAAAGGACTCGGGTTTGGTTCCCAGCACCCACATGGCAGCTAACAACTCCAGTTCCAGGGAATCCTGATACCCCTCTTCTGGCATCTGCCGACATTGTGCAACACGGGTGCACTTACATGCATGCAAAACTCTTATACACATAAACGTGGTGGCACACGCCT